ATTTTGCAGATAATGGTTCTTTATGGCTTTCCTCTGCTAGACTAGAGAGTCTTTTAGAACCTGCAATTCCCTACTTTCAGAAGTCTTTATACCTAGTAACAAATCACCACTTGGTTTCCCTTTTGCCAGATTAAACAGCAAAAACTCTGGTTGCATAAGGTGCTTCCACAGCATGTGAATTGTATGTCGGTTCTCTGCAACCTGTCTGGGTTTTCAGCATCTCTTATGACAGTGGATACCACAACTGTGGGAGTGTTAGTTTCTCCACTGCAATGTAAAATAATCTCCCTCGTCTTGCCCTGCTTCCCTGAAATGCCAGAATGTCACAAAGAAGTCTCATTCCTTCCCCCTCCGTCTGTAAATCCCAGCTCGTCAAGACAGCTCTTCTGTCTGAAGAGCTCCAGCACCCAGGACCACATCGATGCTCAGGACACCCCGGGGTGTTTCAAGAGCCAGGGGTGGATCTTGGCACACGTGCTGGCTGCAGTGCCTGGCCCTGCTCAGCTGGAACAGGTCCTGCCTCTGCATTTTCATGCCACGAAGGTGTAAAATGACACCCCTTCCCCAGAAGATTTCTGTTAAAATCAGAGCAAGAGCAATTCTGCTGCTCCCTGTATAAATCATGTGGGGAGCTCTCTTAATTCCACCCTGCAGCATTTACATATTTAATCTCCTTTTGCTGTTTTTTGAGGTTTCTCACAAATGCTCCTGCCTCAGGAGATCCTGCCCAAATGTCGCTGCTGCAGCACGGCCTGACCTTTCCTGCAAGTGCTTGTGTTGCCATTGTCACAGCTCCCACGTGCTCCCTGCTTGCACTTCAGGGTGAGATGTGCTCACAGGCTCCTGCAGCATGAAGGCAAACTGCTGAGACGAGGTCTTTATTTCAAATGGCATCTTCTGGCTGTGATTTGGATCCTGCTGCAGGATTTCAGTGGATAGAGTCAGTGTGGGGTCCTTCTGATCTCAGCTACATCTAAATCTTACAGATTTCTGTGTGTTAACAAAATCTCTCCTGTGCCGGTCAGCTTTGGAAGAAAAATTAGGTAAGGTCAGTAGAGGTCTGAGTTTCTTCTTGCCTGGAAATGGAAGCAGGATTTAGTTCCAGTCAGAAAATCTTTGCTGGAAGAAGTGCCTGGCTGCTTTGGCAGCATCAGTAGGAGAGCTGGCCAGGAGTCCAGGGAGGGTTCCTTGGCCATTCAGTACCTGTATTGAACTCACTCGCAGGAAAAGATCAGTTCCAGTTAATCTCTTCTGAGGTTTGTCACTGATTTCTCCTCCTCTCTCCCCTTCCTCCACTCCCTCTGCTACAAACATCCCTTCTCCTCTTCTCTTTGAAGTGTTCCCATCTTCCTTTGATGTGTCAGAAGGCAGCATGGGGCAAACACCCGTTCCCAGGGCAGTCAGGATAGCTGGGAAACCCAGCAGAGATGAGGGAAGTGCTTTGGCTGAAGGGAGCTGTTATTACAATGCAGAAACATGTTTGCATTGAAGGGATAATCACCATTCATCCCGGCAAGTTAAACAATACAGGCTGAGGTTCGGTTTTCTCCAATTGTTTCCCAAAGCAAAAATGATTTATGTCTTCTCTCTGAGACTATTGGATGTCTGCTGAGGGGTTCATTAGAGAGACCTTTGCAGCTGCCAAAAGAACCAGCTGGATTATTGAGCCTGCAGCTCATTTTTTCTGTCCTTGTCTGCTTCCTACAATGCAGAACTAGTTTGCAATCCAGACCTTGTTTTTGGTGAGTGAACCACATGGTGGGGGACTGCTCTGTGCAGTGTCTGTCCCCAGCCCAAAGCACTACCTCTAGCTCATCCTGATGGCTTATGATGTTAAGCTCTGGAGCACATGGTGTGTTCCCTGTGCTGCCTGCAGGTATCACAAGAATCACACACTCGTTTTCAGCTCTGGATTTTGGCAGCAGTTGGTTTCACAGTCCTGTGTCCCTCGCAGTGGGATCAGCAGTTTATTTGGCCACAGATTGAAACTTGAGATTAATTTTAAGTAGTGCCTTCAGTCTGGAATTAACTAGGAAGAGCTTCTTGCCTTATCCCAGAAAGCTACTGGTAAAAATGCAGGATCGAGTGCATTGCACGCTCAAAACTCAAATATGCAGGGATTTATACATGTGTGTATATTAATGCACAAACTCTATGTATGTATCCACCCAAATGTAGGCCCAGTTGATCAAAATCTTATAGCCCTTGACCTGTGCTGGGAGCTGTGGTGATTAGCCCTGGCTGAAGATCTGAGCACTGCTGGCATTAATTCCATCAGCCTGTTCTGTAAATTCTTCGTCATCTCCTGCACTGATGTCAGTTATTTGCATTATTAAATCTAATTGAAAACCTGCAAATTAGATTTAAGTGAAACTGGAGACTGAAGCGCTTTGCTCAGGTGATAATTTCATTTACTGTTAAGACATTGCTTAGACCTAAATGTGAACGTATTCTCTGTTCCTCCATAATACACACCCCTGGGCATATTACATCTTATTTAACTTGATTTTAAAAGTGTAATTGTGTATGTCTGAGCAACAAGGTAGACTAAAATCATTGGATCAACTTTGAGAAATAAACTTAAGGTGCCAGATTCACTGGGAACAGCCAGCGACACTCCTGTTATAGCAGAACATTAAATAGTGTAGAGGCTTCCCAGCTGGCTGTAGGAATCCGTACATTAAAACCTACGACACAATTTGTTGCCTCTTAGCAAAAGACCTACAGGGAATAGAAATCTCTCAATCAACCCTGAAATGATATTTACTGACATTACAGAGAGCTTGCCATGTGTCAGAGAGTTAGAGGCTGACCTGTCACCCAGAAGACTGGTGTGTGATTAGATCCCACTGCTGTATCCATGAGGGGACAGATGCTGATGCTCAGCTGGCGGCCACACTGAGGTCTTCATCAAAGCCTGAGGTACACCAGGTGACACATCTACCACATATTTAAGCTACTGCAGCGATCAGGAAGATTTTCAGCTGCAAAATCATACTGCTCCCAGCCTCAGCAACCAGTTTGATCCTACTGCTTTGAAGGCAGCACCAAATTGCCTGAAGAAGGACATTTCTGCCGGTGCTTCATCCTTCTGTAGCATTGGTGTTGCTGGTGAAGGTGAGCAGGGGTAACACTGAGCTGGCTTTTCCATATCAAGTGTGTCTCTGCTTCCTTGGTTTCAGTCAGGATTTCCAGCCAGTCTGGGGTGCATTAACCACACACTGCAGTTTCTGATGAGGTGGCTGTGTTTTGGGAAAAGAGAGATGTCTTCTGCTGCTATAAATTAATGGGGCTACAGTAATCTATTGTGATACGAGGGGTGGGAATTTGGTCGTGAGTCACAAAATAACATCTGGGCTCTGCTGCCCGCCTGGCAGGGCTGCAGTTCTTGAAGTCTTCTGCAATGTGGAAGTTTTAAGAAGATTTTTAACTTTTCCTAGGCTCTGAGCTCATCATGTAGCTCCTTGTGTGCCCTGCCTACATGAGCCGTTTTTTTTTAATTTTCCTTAAGAAAAGGAGAGGGGAAAGGATTCAGTGTAAGGATCAGATCATGCCTTTCTCATTCAGCACAAAATTTTGCACGTGAGTAAAAACTTTGTCATTTTCTCATCCAGATTTGCTTGTTCTAAATGAGCCCTTTGGCTTATCATGGCATTTACTGGCACGGAGGGGATTTATTAGCAGTGAGAGAATCTGAAGGAAGAAATGTCATGCGCACACGTGAGTGCATCATCTGCAGGGCTTTGAGAAACTGCTGGGTTTGTATAGCATGTGGGAAAAAAAAAACAAACCACCACACCAGAAAACTGAGAAACTGGGTCATCTGGATTCATTTGCTGCATCTTTCCAGCTGGGCTTTTGTTGCTGCTCAGGCTGACATATCTGAGCTCACATGGATTGCGCTGCACCAGGACTGTACAGGGTCCTGCGTGCCTGCTCTCCCTGCCTCCTGCACTCATCCTGTTCATCTCCTGGGTGTCTGCAGGGCCCACATCAAGGTCAGGGTTGTGCTGCAGCTGGTTGTGAGCTCTTAGAGCAGCCAGAGAGTCCCTGCTGGGTACTACAGGCAAAGCCACAGGCACACGAGGGGACTTGGTTGTCACAGAGAGAACAGCCAGTTGGAGGGTCAGCACTGCCCCCACCTCCCTGAACTGTTCTGCCTCTCACTTCTTCTTTTTCAGCTATTTGTTACCCCATTCCATTTTTTCCAGACGGCACAGCACACAGCAGCCTCTCCAGTCTAGGCTGCTTTTCTCCCTCTATCCCAAAACCCTCCTGAAAAATCTTCCAGACAGACCTTTTCTGGGGCAAATGCCAATTCTGTGGCTGTGTTTAAATTCAGTATAATCTCATTTTATGATGAGTAGTGATCAGAAAGGATAAACTGTGAAGCTGAGATTGTCAGCAATAAGTACAGTGCTTGTTTGCATAGTGTGCTGAACACAACCATTCTCTGTTTCATCACATGAATATATTTTTGGACTGCTAATTTTCCTATACAAAAATTGTAATCTCTGCTGCGTCAAGGAAGTTTTGTTTTATCCCAAATGCCCAGTGAGTTTTCTCTCCTGCAATCTGGATTTTTCAGGGGATGAGACTGCTGTGGGTTGTTCACATTTTTGTCTCTCCTTCCTCCTTCCCCAAGAACTTCTGATAAGAGGAATGGGGGTCACTAAGGTTTTAAGTTCTTGGGAGCTCCATGCACAGCAAGAGCTCCCAGGGAAGGAGATTCTGTTGGCACCCTGCTCTGAGATGAGACCCCTTATTAAGCTTTTGAGATCCACACAGGAGAGTATTAAGTCCCAGCTGAAGAAGTTTTGGTCAGAGCACACCTTACTCCAACAAGACATTATTTCTCCTTGCAGGATGATTTGTTGTCTTATTCAAGTGAAAACTACTGGTAACCTTCCACTTGTGGTCTTCTGTAGAAGATGCAGGCTATATCTGAGCAACAGATGATCCACCAAGCTCAACACATATTTTCTGATCTTTTCTTCTAGGTGGAAAAACTGGCAAAATACTTGGACCCAAATGACTTGGGAAGAATCAATTTTAAGGACTTCTGTCACGGAGTTTTTGCTATCAAAGGTACGTGCATATTTCTTAAAAATAATCCCCTTCAGTTCCACTAATGTTTCTCTGGTTGCAGAAAATGTAATGATCAAAGACATCCTCTCTTTTGACTGTAGTTATTTGTAGTGACAGTAGAGCAGCTCTGGGAACAGAGCCAGGATATTTTTCCTTTTTGTGCATCTCATGTGTTAATGGGGAGCAGTGCTGGAGTTCCCGCATCCGCCGGAGCTTGTGCATTGGTTTACAGTTAATTTTTGTCAAAATAAGTGTGATGTGGTTTAAAGACAAATGCAGCAGAAGAAAGAGTAGCTTTGTGGTTAGGAGGCAGTGCCCAGGTTTGATACTTCCAGGTCCTCATCTGGTTCTGCTGTTGATTTACCTCAGGGAGTTAGAGACCCCTCGGGCTTTAGTTTCTCTTCTAGGAAATTTAAGACTATTATACTCTTCTTGAGATATCTGTAGTTAATTAATGTTTTCAGAGTACTTGTGGTCATGTATTGGAATGAAAAGGGTTAATTACAGGTTGGCCATGCCAACCCTGAGGAGAGAGACCAGGTAGATCAAATCACCTCCTTTGCAAGGAAACACAGTCCTGGACAGAAGACACAGACATTGCTGTGCTTTACAGCTTAGCCAGAGGGCAGCAAAGAAAACAGGGAAGAGGCACTTTGGCTGCTGGTTAGTTTCCTGACTTCCCACAGTGGAATAATCCACCTGTCCTCTTCCAGGCACATGGGATGTCCTTTGTAAAGTGCTGGAGTGCTGTCACAGCCCAGAGGCTCCGCTTCAGGGACAGGGTGAATGTCACAGTCAGCGTGGTGTGATTCTGGGAGAGGCCTCTGGAGAGTCTGCTGTGATGAGATTATTATGAAGCCATAACGATGCAAGACCGTAACACCACAGCAATTTTAATTAAAGTTTATGGCAGCCAAAGACAGGGCGTAATTAGGTAAAATCACAGCAAGAAGCTGCTCTCGTCCACGTTCTTGGAGACACCATCCAAGGTGACACTGATGTGTTTGAAGAGAAGGCAAGAGAAAGCCCAGAAGGAAAGCTAACTCCTCAGTGCATAGACACTAAAGTCTGTGCTGGAGGTTTTCCTTGAGCAGGAAATGCTGTGGCAAACTGAATTTTAGGTTAAATCATCTTGTAGTTGTCTAATTCACAGTCTGAAGATGTGCACAAATGCACAAAATGTGATCAGGAAGGGATAGAAGTGACCCAGAACATCTCTTCTGTAATAACTCTGCCCTTGTCTGTGGTGGGCAGTGCCCTCAGGGATGGAGTGGGCAGCTGTGTTTCCTTTACTGTGAGGACGGTGTGTCATGTTGACAGGTACCAGAGAGTGGTGGTGCCCTGGGAGTTCTATCCTTGCTCCCCTTGTGGGAACTGATTCATGTATCCTAAGGTCTGGTCCTGCAAAGATGTGACTGAACCAAACTCTCTGGAATACTTTGTACTCCGAGTTTATGAGTAGCTTAAAGCTCTTACACTGAGCAAGTTATCAGGAGGGTCCAGATCACTTGTGTGATGGTTATTGGGGGGTGTGAGGGGGAGGGGGTGAGCAGATGCAGAGAAACCACCCAATCCTGCAGCACCACCCAGAGCTCCCTTTGCACATCATTAGCATTTCAGCACTCACACAGTGTCAGTGATAAGTGTTGTATCATCACAGCAGCAGCTCTATCTGTTCCTGATAAGACACTGTGCTCCCTGTTTTCACAGCATCTCTTTAGAACAGCTGGTTCCATTGCTCACCTCCCAGCACCGAGATTTTATTGCTCTTTGGCTACCAGCCATGTTTTCCTTAAAAATGAAATTGCTCGTGTTAAAGTTCAGGGAGGGTATGTCTGCCTTTCAGAATGCAAAGCTTCCACATTTGTTACCTCTCATTTTTCAGTGCAGCCACATCCCAGGGGTAGCATCGGGGTTGTTATCAAACAAAAGCAATTTGTCTTGGCAGCAACAGATTATAAATATGATTCTTTGACATCTCAGCCTATTACAATGGCTTGGGGCAATCAGATTAATAGAGCAAAATGAGATGCTACTGTAAATCCAGTGGGTTTTTCAGTAATGGAGCATGAAGCTGTGCTGTTCTTAGCACTGGAAGGCAAATATTCAAATTCAAGTTTTACTGTCCTAATGCCTTGCTGTATTTCTTATTTATGAGACTTCAAATTAATTTGTCTTATAGATTCTTTCCTTTCTAGTGTGCTGAAGAAATTGTTTGCTGGCCAGAGGTGATATAGTGTCAAGGTTTTTGTGGTAGTTCAGTGCCTTGAATTTATTTAAATCATGAGAGTTTAGGCATCTAGAACAACAGATTCAAATCCGAGTTGACTACTGATGATGGTTTGAGCATTTCATATCCAGGGACAGATCTTAGCAAACAGCTAAATGTTGGAAACTGAAAAAATCCCAAACATCAGAGTGTTTAATGCCTGCTCTGTAACTGGTTGGAAACTTCTGCCCCTGGATCTAAAATCTGCTGCTTGGCCTCTCTCCTCCATAAACCGAGGCATTGTTCACTCTTGCACGGTGCAAATGAAAAGTGTTGTGTTCCTCTACAAGTGGCCATCGAGCCTTGCCTCCTCCTTAGTGCTTCAGAGCTGGGTAAACCTCATGACAAAGGAGTCATATACCTCCACAGCAGCTGATGGGACCATCAGGTGTAAAAGAGAGTTAATTTTCTTCAGGTGCTGAGCAGCAGGAGCTGTGGGGAAGGATGGGTTGAGAAGTCTCACTCATGGTAGGGGCCCTTGGAAGTGATGGAGACGACTTTTTCCAGTGGATGTAAATATGCTCGAGAGGAGAAGTGTGTTGGAGGAGCTCATTCCCAGTGTGTCTCTGGGGGTGGAATACTAGACAGGCATGGTGCTTGCTATTTATGGAAAGCTTTGGTTCTTTTTGCTGGTCTTTTGTGGATTAGAGGACTTTGCCTCAGCATCTGTGCTGAGCCCCTGCTGTCCAGGCTGCTTTCCCCGAGCAATTAGGCTCTGCCAGAGCCAGGGACAGACTTGCCATCAAATTTAAAGCTTTGCAGCAATTTCATTGGAATGTCAGAATATGAAGGTTTTGCTCCTGCTGAAGCTGCCCTCTTTATCTGCTCACTGCAGGGCTTTATTTCTAATAACTGTGTCTGTCTGGAGAGCAATTGCCATGAAATAGCACCTGTAACCTCTTACCGAGCTGCTGTGTCAAATCCAGTACAGCCTAAGAAGTGGGTCTGCTCAGACACACCAAGAGCAGCCAGAACATCACTCAAAGGCTGAATTCCCATTAATTTCAGCAGGGTCAGCATGGGATCTATTACTGTTTGCTCAGCAGAGCCAATGGCTGGCTTTGCTGTGCTGAATTTATTGTACTGATCCAGTAAATATTTTCTGCCACTTGTAATACTTAAAGGCTTGAGTGGAGCTGTTAATTCTAAAGTGCTCTGTGGGCTGTTGGGTTCTACACTCAGACATTTGCAGGACCAGGCTCTTGCTATGTTTAACAGGCTCTGATTAAGTCTGACCTATCCCTTGTATTTTGAGGTTTCTGTTGTCTTTCCAACAGTCTCTTTGCTTTGAAACTCTGCTTAAAAACACCCAGACCTTGACAAATAAAGGGGGAGCTCCCCCTGCTGCCCTTGGTGTTGCAGCTTACAGAGATGAGAGTGTGGTACAAACACAAAGAAGAATTAAAATTTAAAGGTAGATGTATTCTGACTCTGTAGCTTATTTTAACCATGAAAACAGCACTGACTGTGTAGCAATTGGGGGTTTTTGTAACAGGAGAGACTGAACCAGTCTCTGGATTTTCAGATGAAACCATACAGCCTGTTTTTCTCCCAGAGCAAGAGAGTTTTTCCCTCATCTTGTAGAAGTTTTAAGGACATTTAAGTTTTGCTCTGTCACAGTATTTGAAAATGGAGAGTTGTAGGAGCTCCTTCATATTCATGAACAGGGTGGAAGAAGCACAGCTGTGAATTTATAAACTTCCCCACCTGCAGCAATAGCAACCCTTGAATCTTCAAAATAGTAACACAGACCATTATGTGCCTTCAAAAATCCATCTCTGTGCCTCCTCAGATCCTTAGGCAGCTAATTACTGCAGCTGGCTGGAAAGCTTCTGGAAGCAGGCTTTATGTGAGCAGATAAAAGCTAAAAAGTAGATGTTTCTCTGTGAGTTCTTAGCAATTTTGATGGAAATTCCAAGGGTACAGATTTGCCCAAAGTTTTAAAGCACTGTTCCAGACGGAATGTTGGCTCCTCTGGTAGCTCAGACTGTCACAGGTTATTTGGACTGTAAAAGGACGTGAAAATAGTAAAGTATGAAATTTGGTGGGACTTTTTCAAACCAAAGTTTTCCAAAGCAGGGTATTTCTGCCTTTCTGTTTCGCTGGAGATTTTTTTTTTTTAATATGCTTTTGTGGTTTCCTTCAGATGCTCCAAACAAACATATTCTCACAAAACCAGTGCCAAGTTCTGACCATCTCTTTCAACTTAATTTAAAATCTAATTTGCAGTCCCATAGCTGAGAAAAGTATTGTACCAGCCTTACCTTGAAAATCCAGCAAGGAGTAAGAGATGGATGTGTTGCAATTATATAAAATGGAGTTTATTTGCCAGATATGAGTATTTGTATTGTGGACCAATACCTAAGACCAGGGCAGCTGCACTGGGAATTTCAGTAAAGGGCTGCACAAAACCCCAAAGTCCTGATAAACCCATTTAGGCTCGTGCTGTAGATCTCAAGCTTCACACTAGGCCATAACTGGAGATGATCTGATGGTTCTATCCATTTTATTAAGAATAACTTACTGACAGGAGAGGTGCTTGGGCTGGCTCCAGGGAGGAGGACTGTCAGTAAATGTGAAGAGCTGAGCTCTCCTGTTGTAAAATTAAGCTATAGCTGTTCAATGAACTGAAGTTGGTTACTCCTAAAAGTACTTGAGAGTTTTCAACTAAATTTTACTAAGTACAGCATGAAACCATAAATGAGTCTAATACAGCGTTAAAGATCCAAGGGTAGATAAGGTAAAAAGCCATTGCTGTTAGGAAAAATGCCAGAAACCAACTACATTCAATTAGGTAACCAATTTGATTTCCTATAGTATTAAAATTGCCTAATTGCCTGTGAAAATTGCTTGATGTGGTATGGGTTAAATCTCCTTCTTGGAGCATTTGCAGGAAACAGCTTTGCTAAAATCGAGTTTATTTGTGGCCAGAATGTCTGTTTGCAAATTGACTGTTTGTTAGGGTGTGAAAACCTTTTTTTTTTTTTTTTTTTTTTAATGAAACTGAATGTAAATCTGAAAAATTATGTCATAAGATAATCATGTCCAGCAACCTGAGTGACCTGAAAAAGTTAAAAGTTCATGTCTTCCCCTTCAGTGACTTGTAAAACACTCTCATCATCTTGGCTTAGGGCTAAAGATGACCCCCTTCTGGCCAAATGAATTGTGGTTGCTTATGCATTTGTGGTATTAGGATAAAGAGGGTTAGGCTCAGATAATTTTGACAGACCAAATGCTGCCCAAAAAATGTAGATGAGGAAATTTCCCCAACCATAGCAAAGGAGAGAGAACATCAAGCACATTAATATCTCATGATACAGGTAGACACCCAAATGAACTGTCTCTAATCAGCCATGTAAGTGGCTTTCAGTTCTACCTTTTCCTGGGACATGAAGTTACAGAAATAATGGGGCATCTTAGTGCAGGATTCCTTTCCTCCTTTGCAGTGGGCTATTTTTGGACAGATTCTAGCCTCGGGTGCGCAGCTTGAAATATCCGCTGTGGCAGCTCTGCAGCCTCAGCTCGATGTCTCTGCTCAGGAGTGGTTCTGGTAGCACAGAGCACTCCGTGTTCCAGACCAGGCTGCTCCCTCTACAGATCTCTACCCGGTTTTTGTCCCTCTTTCCACATTGGGATTTGCCAGAGTAAACCTTGATTCATTGTTGTTTTCTGTCTGGACTGTGACACACTAATTTAGCTCCCTGGCATTTCCCAGTGAGCCAGAATGTGTTCTGGTGATAAGAATATGCAGAGTATTTGAGGCACTCCAGCGTTCCCTCTTTGTGTGATGCCCCTTGTGTAAACCTCTCGGGAGTACCTGGAAGACTCAAACTGGATTTAGGTTAGGGAAGCAAAAGGTGAGGTGTATTGGCACTGCTGCAGAAAAACACTGAGTAAGAAAGCTGATGTATTGCCCAACTGTGCCCAAACCCACCTTCCTGCTGATAAAGAGTGGCCCAAGGAAAGCACCAGCACCACAGTCCTGCAGAGGGAAGAGATTCCTGTTTGTGCCTTCACAGGGAAAAGAGCAACGGAGAATTTATCCTTTACACTCAGTTCTTAACAGGAATAAAACCAGTGCACAACGCTAAGATTCTTGAAGCCAGTGGCCATTTTTCCATTGATTTGATGGATGTTGGAGCAGGTTCAGGTATCTGCAGGGTAGCAGTGATGTGGTTTAGTAATCTCAGGGGAAAGTGGCCTCTCAGCGTTTCCTTCTCTTCTTCCCTTTCTTATGGAGTATCAAACATGCAGACCTTCCCTGGAGGATGAGGAGATCAAGCTGTCATGCCAGCTTCCATGCCAGGCAGTGCCCGGGGGACACTGCCTGCTGCACACCCAGACATCTCCCCACCAAAAAGTCACTTTTGCAGGAGGAGATAGTCTCAGATGAACTTACATCCTGTCAGTGCCAGGAGAAACTTGGCCCGTGACTTCAGTAAAAACAAGATTTGGCTTCTTTTGCCGTTTTCAGCTGTGCAGCAAGGTAAACAAATTGGATTAAATGCCTGTTGATGTTCTGGAGATGGGTCAAAGGCTTGATCATTATTGTGGTTCTGGATGAGGCTGTTAAAGCCTGTGCCAGGAGGCTCTTGTGAGGAAGTGCTGAGAGCTTCCTCTGAGCTGGTTGGGTAGAAAGGAGGCAATGCTTTTCTCCCCAGTGTGCTTACTGAATAAATGACAGGCTTGAATTTAAATGGCCAGGGGCTATCATGAAGTGGTCCACCCTGATGGACAAGGAGAATGAAAGAATGTGATCAGTAGTCTTAGGTAAGAACTGAACAGCAGAGAGGGGACACAGAAGACCTTGCAGCTAAACTCTAGATTTGGGACCCTGGAGATCTGGGATCTGTTTGTGACTCTAACAGACCAGTCTGGCTGGCCCTTTGAAAGGAGGCAAAGGAGAAACATCTCACACTCGTTGTTTTGGGTAGTTAAATCCTTCTTTGAAGACCCGCAGCCTTCATGACTTTCCTCCACCAAAAAAAAAAAAAAAAAAAGGGTTGGGAAGGTGCTCACCTAACAGGCTCAGATGAAGACTGGCTGCTAAGAGGTCTTTAACTAGGAGCACTGTTGTGAGCACAACTGCATGAGGAAAATAAAGCTTGGAATTATGGCTGAAGAAATTGTCGTTTCGAAATTTTAGAACAGTGTAAACATATTTCCTTCATTACAGTAATCTACATCCATTACTGGGCAGCACTTGGCATTTATTTTCTTTTTTTTTTTTGCTAGGGATAGCTCACTTTAACGAGTAGCTGCTCCGTATCGTGCAGAGAGCTTTTAGCAAAGCAGTTCATACATGTAATGACTCTCACAGTGGGTGCTGGCACAAGGCAGTTTGATGAGTAATAAGCTTTGGTTATTAAAGTCAAAAGGTACAAACAGTACATTGAATTTTCCTCTGCGAGAGGACTAGAGAATCACCTCAGCCAGGCACAGGCTGAACACAATGCTAAAGCCAAGGGAAAGGAAAGGGTCGTGGCTGGGTGGGAAATGTGAGAGGCACAGGCAGGCCAGGTTATGTAGACCACTCTAGGCAAACAAATTTAACATCTGGTGTCTGTCAACCAATAGATTGTTAGTCCCAGATCAGCCCCTCATTGGGCAGTGACCCTGACACGCTGTTCTTGCCCACGAACTTCTCCAGCAAAGTGTGCATTGAACAGCTTTATTTGTTCTCTGTTCAGTACCACGTGGGAATCTCACTTTGCTGCAGAAGCTGGAAAAGGGAACAAGTCCTTCTGCCTGTTGTCCAGGTGACACTCCTGAGATCTCAGTGATGGCTTCATTCACTGGCCGCTGCCTCCAGCATATGCCTGCGTTTGGGAGACAGGGACAACATAGTGACTGATCCCCCATTTTTAGCTTCCTGAATCTCTTCTCACCTTTTCACCTAGTGCAACAGTCACTAGCTCATGCCAAGCCTGCAGATCCAGGGTTTGACTTCAGAGTTTGGGTTGGTCAGGGCTGTGTTTCTGTCCTGCAGGATGGCTCACCAAGCCAGGCAATGTCCAGCTCCCAGTTTCATTGCCATGCAGTGTTTCTATGCTGCCAGTTGGCATTAGTGTCATTGCACTTCTCTAAGTGCTACACACTGAATATGTGCTGGGCAGAGTTTTGTTACAGCTATTTAAATTTATTCCAGAGCTGGCTTCCAAGTGCATACAGATATTGGCTACAAACCTGTGTTTCTTCCTCCATTGTCCGTGCAATGTCTGGGAAGATGAACTCCCAGCCTGACCATTTGCTCTCATTTCTCTTTGCCAGGCTGTGAAGACTTACTGAAAGATGTCCTGTCTCCTGAAAACTCTGAGCCTCAACACTATGAGCCACAGTATGTCGATTACTATTACCAGGTAAGAGAAGCACTAATTCTGTCTCGTGTTAGTGGGCTGAGGAAGCCTCTGGAGTGATGTGTAGTTGTGTCGATGTAAATGCTGTTGTTTCACTTGGCCTGTTGGCTCTTCCTTCCCGGATTCAGCACTGTTAGCAAACCATCCATTCTGGTTTATCTGCATTTAACACAGAGTAGCTGTCAGCTGCTGTGAGAGTGTTTAGCATTTGGATTGTGATACTCCTGCTTGGCTGTGAAGGGAGATAGGGTACAAACTCGCTGGCACCTCACAAGTGCAAAACACTGATTTGTATCTAATTAGATCAGTCAAACTTTGTAGGTGAACAAGGCCTCAGGGACCTTCTGCAGATAATAAACAGGGACTCAACAGCTGTTGGGAAGCACAAACAATACACTTTTGAAAGTTTTGATAGTATTTTGGCTGGTGAGTGGAACATATTTTCAAACCATTAAATGTCTTCATCTCTGTCCTTAATTTGGCAGTGTCTGTGCAGTCTAATAAGAAAAGCAGTCTGGAATTTTCCTTTAAGCATCCCTTTATCTCTCCTTCACTTTACTTTGGTTTTAATCACCTCCACCCCTGTAAATCCTGAAGATTAAAAGTGCATTGTCCATTCAGACAAGGATTGTGTGTCAGTGGCATTATGAGACTGCAAGTGATCCTGAAGTCAGTAGTGAAAGCATTTTACCTTCACAGGTGTTGAAGTATGAGAACAATACTTATGTGTTGTGGAAAGAGATGTGATGAGCATGCTAGTGTTTGATTACTCCATAGTGTTATACAGAATGGTTTCCAGTGTTCAGACAAAAAGCACGGAGACATTTCCTTCCCCTCAGTGTCCATCATCACTCTGCTTGTTTGTAAACCACTGGTTTTTTGTAACTGATGGCACAGATACCCACCATGCTGTTGCTTGGTTACCTTAATGGATACCATAAACCAAATTCCCTGTTCTGCAGTAGCTGATAGAGGCTATAAAATGAAATTGGGCTCTCTGCACACTCTTGATGTTCCCCTGTTGCTGTGCAGACGTTGCAGGCTGGTTCTGACACTCTTTGAAGGCAGCTGATGTGGGTGTTGGATTGTTATTCCTCAGGGATTTCACATCCGCTGTCACCCAGAGATGTGCTGGGGAGAGAGAGTTCTTGAAGACAAACTTGAGATTGGCTGCAAACTGCACCTCTCCTGCCAGCTGTCCTGCAGGAGGGCTTGAGGTGGGCATTGAGGTTGCTAATCCTTATAGCAGATGATGAGTTTTCTATTCGAGTGCTGGATTTTTGCTTCTGGGAGAGGCAGTGGGCAGAGGAGTGCAGTGGAGTCAGTGCAGTGTTTGCTCCCTGTAATTGGGGAAAGGCAGGATTTGTGCAGCCTGGGAGCAGAACCAGGTCCTTCCCCACCTTCCCACATGGTGCTCTGTCACGGTGGGGAAAGGACAGGGAACAGTGCACGGTGCTGCACAGCCCGTGCTTATCCCACAGCTCTGCACCGCTGCCCTCCAGAGGGGCTCGGTCCGTCTCCCATCTCCAGGTCCTCCAGGTGCAGTTTGGAAAATGCTCGCTAGATGTCAGCTAAAGACTGGGAAAAGGCTGTGAACAGGCTCGGCGCTTGCCTCTGAGGATCCTCTGCTATGGCAGGAAGTTGGGAGTTTTCAGCCTGATGAAACAGGAGCACTGAGGGGCAGGTGGATTTGAGATTATCACCATTCCTGACAGTTGTTCCCCTTTCTGAAGGAAACACGGACTGAAAACATACAAACCTGTCCTTGCGTCTCCCAGACCTTACTGAGTGTGAATTCCTGGTGCTGTAGTCAAGTTTATGGACAGCTCCCAATGGCACAAATGGTAGTTGCCTGTCTGATCTCATTTTCATCCCCTTTGCATGTCTGTCCAATTCTCAGGTGAGGTCAAATTCTCAGGCAGCAGAAGGATACAACTGCTGTGATGGCACAAATAGATACTTTGAAAGGGAATGCATCCTTTTTTATTCTACCCAGGGGGTTGTGCTTACACAAAGGCGGGTACTGAGCTGGTTCATTGTTATGCTGTCTCTGTATTCACGCGGTGATTTGAGAAGGGGAGATTTATCCTTGTCCTGTGTTACTCCCTCTGTCCCCTGCTTTCCCTTTTCCTTCCCCTCCCAAATGCCCACTCCCTCTGTTATAGCTTTCTGAAGCCCAAAGACAGCAAACTGAAGAGGTGAAGGTAATTCCAAGCAGTGGGATGAAGTGGCAGGAGCCACAGGAAGGGGCTCCACTGATCCAGATGTTTTTATATATGTTGAGTCAAATGGGGAAGAAGAAACTGCCAAGTCTCCAGCCTTTAATTGCAATCAACTGGGTGCAATTAATTTAAATTATTATATAAAATCCCCTGATACCAGGAGCTTGGGGCATTTAATTTGACATTTTCTAAATGGTCTGCTTTTACTTTCTGGGGTTTTTTCAGTGTGAACAAGAGCAAAAGCTGCCAAGCTTTTAATGTCTGAAAACGGTTTAAAAAAAGGAGAAAAAAATTACTGCAATTCAAAATGCAAAGACCATTCCATGGAAGGTTCCTAATGGTCTATATTGAGAGGCTGTGTGAGTGATATCTCAGGTAAATGGAGAGCTGTTCCTTTGAGCTCAAATCTGATAAGGTGTCATATGCAAATGAAAAGAGCAGCACTTAGTTACTCCATGACTCTACATTCAGTGAGACCTCTCCCACTGATTTCTATCAGCATTGATTCAGCCTGCAAAGAGTATGTTTCCTCTTTGAACCAGGGAAAGCTGGTCCACAGGAATTTAGGAGGATGGGGTTGCAGTTATGAGTCAGCAGTGGTAGAGCCCCTCAGCTCCAGGACCTACAAATAAACCTGCCCTGTCTGTCTGTGAATTCAGAGTCTGTTGATTTGGTTAAGGTCTGGACTGTGCTCCATTTGAGGCACTGCTTCAGTCAAGTGCTGTTTATTAGTATAATTTCTGTCTCTTGCAGCCTTTAGAGAGATAATAGAAATGCTCTGAATTTGCCAGAAGCCAGTTTATCAATCCTGAATTCCTCTCACAGCGTTCGCTGCTACAGCCCCAGCTCTTGTTTTGGCTTCAGCATTTGAAGGGAGACAAAAGTCTCCCTAGTCCAGTTTGCTTTGTGGCAAGCATCTGGTAGCACTTCAGAGCCCTTGGATAGCCTTTTGGAGATGGCAACCCACACAAAGTCCAGAACTGAAGTATGTGTGTGAAAGCCCAGACCCAGATTGAGCCAGCTCAAACAAAGCTGGGTGCCTGTGTCTAGGATTTCCAAATGGCTGGCTCCCGGCCTTCCCGGGCTCCTGGCCAGCTGGGAGCAGTAGCCACAGGACTCAGAGGGAGTCAGACTGGCTGCAGCTGCAGCTCCCTTGCCAAGGTTTGCATGGCAGAGAAGCAGAGGTTCTAGGTGCTCAACTGTCTGAGCACCCCTTAGGGAGAAGGGAATCAGCAGCAGGAGCTCCTTGTTCAGCTCTCCACCTGATGCATTTTGTGTGTTCAGGGTCACAGGGAGCCTGACTCTGGAGCACCCCAATGGATGGCAAAAGAGGGGGTTAAGTGACAGGTCACCACCAGCTAGCAGGGTCCCTACTTGAGTAGCTGCTTGTGAAGGGACAGACCGTGTATTTTCACATGTGAGTGGTTGCCTTTTCATCTGAAATCAATGCCCAAAAGCCACACAAGCAAAGCCAGTGGAAGAGCGTGTTGTGAGGTACAATAATGGCAGGGTCCTTGTTTTAAACAAAGCTGTTTGTATCTTATCCATTGTTGCTGTATTGAGTTGCCACTTACCTTATTTTTTTCCTGCTCTCGCCTGTAAATAAGAGAGTGAATCTGCCTCTTCACAAAGTACAGGACGATTGCTGCATGTCGAAGAATGAGCTGCCTTTTCAGTCCTGTGTGTGTGTTCTCCTGCCTGCCAAGTGATTAATTACACTGTATGAACAGCAGAAAAATTGTTGAAACATGACAAATACATTGTGTTTGCCTCTGGGATGGAGCTGGGGCTGCTAGCTGATCTGCTGCTTTGGAAATATTTTCAGTAGCAATTAGGAGTCCCTCACCAGCTTCTGAAAAAAAGTTTTTCTTCCTCGCTGGCTGCACGAGGATCTCTGCTAACACCTGTGTCAGGGCAGAGCTGGGGGAGTCCTTCTGCACTGGGAAAAGGCTGATCCAAATGGATTTTTCATTAGGCTGTGGAAGGAGGTGGCAGTCTGAGACACAGCTGCACTGAGCAGAGGTTTGCACAGGTCTCTCTTGAGAGTCTGGGATGGCAGTTATCATCTCTGATGGTGCTATCTCTTACTATTTATTGAAAAGCAAAGTCCAGGAAAGCATTGACTGTTTTATTGAACTCAGACCTGCTGTTCTTTTCTTGTTTATCTCTTAAATAAAGCTGTCCTTTTTTTTCCCCCCACAGAATAATTGACCTCATTTGTCAGGAGAGTATATTTCTTGATACTGATTTTCCTAACATTAAACCCATCTGTTAATGTGGAATACATCTTTCCTCCTGCCCTCTGTGGCAGCATTAGCTGAGACACTCCTGTCTTAGCAGAGCAACTAAGAAGTGGTTAAAGTGGAAATACCTTTTCGACCCATAGCCAAGAGAAAAAACAGCCTGTGCAGTTAGAAGCAGCGATATTAAACACAGCAAATCACAGCTTTTTTTTTTTTTTTCCTCTTTCTGCTTATCAGCCCTCAGTTTTCTTCACCACCCACATACTCTCAGTCATTCTTGGCTCCCATTGTGTTCTCAGCTCTGCAGATGCTCCGTGTCACTCTCGGGGTGTTGGTGGCACTCGGTGATCACATGGCGCATGTTTGCAAATCACAGTGTTCTGTCTGTCTTGGATAGGCCAAGGGAAGCAGGAGGTTTTCCCTGGGTTTCCTGCTCTAATCTAGAAGTCTGTTTTATATTTGGTGCTCCTAAATCTGCCAGGTTCTCCTTCCCTTCAGCTTCTGCTGCATCCCCTGGGAAATAAGTATGTTCAGTATA